AATTCTACGGGTCTGACGTCGGAGAAGGAAACCCCCCGATGGGAAAACCTGGGACCCTCACAGCCCTGGCTTCACCTGGAAGGTCGTCCGGAAGGATGGCCGGTCTAATTAGCATATTGTATTTTTATTATAGACTAGAGGCTCGACGCGCAAATAAACCTGTTTTCCGCGTTCTCCAAAAGCGAAATATTCCCTGTTGCGCACACAAAGCAAGTCAGTCCGAGACTAAGGACGCGGCCTTCGGCTGCTAAAATATTCGCTGCCGCTAGCAGTGGGGAGAGATGGCGCGCCTGCATGTGAGGCGCATGAGGGAAATGAATGCAACACGATGATAGTCATCAGTCATTAGCGAATGTTGTAATTCGTTATTAATAACTAGGGGCCCGGTGCATGAAATCAGTGCACAGGTAGGGCCTCTAGCAGCTGCTGGCCGGGGTCTTCCTTCGTTCCACACCACCCCCTAGTGGTCAGCGCACGTCATAGCAAGCAGTCGAGCTCCCAGCGGATCGAACTCCCGCCAGAGGGAACAATTTGCCTATTAGGCTTTTATATATATAGATTACGTCTAACGGGATATTGTAAAAATTAAATGATGAAATTTTTATTAGAACGTTTCTTACATACCATTCTATGGGCTGGGCCGCAAAAATATTCCTTGTGGGCTGCATGTGGCCCCCGGGCGTTGAGTTTGACATGGTTGTCCTCATGCGTTAAAGCTTTCTTACCGAAGGCCGTAGCTTGAGGACCCCTGGTCTACCAAATGAAACTCGAGAGTCGGATCATCGCTGTGGTGCCAACGAGAGCAAATCTGTCGAGTCTTCACTGTCCATCGGCCATTCCTTGTCTTAATACCCACAGTCACCCTAAGGGGCAGGGACCTGTGTTTATTTTAAACCAGAAATTGGGACCCGGCCGACGTGGCTCAGTGGTTGAGCGTTGACCTAAGAACCAGGAGGTCACAGGTTCGATTCCCGGTCAGGGCACATGCCCGGGTTGCGGGCTCGATTATCCCTCTCCCCGTCTCCCTCTCTCTCTGAAATCAATAAAAATATATTTAACAGAGGGCTGCCTACCCCGCCCTCATCCTGGCGACGATATTCATCCCTAAGTCAGAAGTGTTTCTCTTTCAAAGACACCAGCCTGACCTTCAAACCGTGGATCTGCTGAGAAAACAGAGTTATTAATATATGTCATTTCTTCATGCAGCGTCAGCTTAGAAAGATACCGACGGTGTTATCTGTCATTTTACCGTAGACTAATGCATCCGCACACGAAAATAATGCCTCATTGCGTGCTCTTGTCCTATTCAAACAGCCATGGGCTGAGTCCTTTCACGTAGTAACACTTTTAGAACTATTTTTTAAAAATATATATTTTTTTGATTTCAGAGAGGAAGGGGGAGACAGAGAGAGGGAGAGAGAAACATCTATGATGAGAGAGAATCATGGATCGGCCGCCTCCTGCACGCCCCCTGCTGGGGTTGGCGCCCGCCACCCCGGGCATGCGCCCTTGACCGGGAATCGAACCCTGACCTCCTGGTTCATGGGTTGACGCTCAACCTCTGAGCCACACCTGTCAGGCCTGCATACCAAAATTTCCAATAGATGCATGCTTAATGAATTTGTGCTGACATTTAAAAATTTATTTCAAATATATTTTTAATGATTTCAGAGAGGAAGGGAGAGGGATAGAGAGAGAGAAACATCAGTGCTGAGAATCATGGATGAGCTGCCTCCTGCACGCCCCCTACTGGGGGGATCGAGCCCGCAACCCGGGATGCAAACCAGTGACCTCCTGGTTCATGGGGTTGCCCGCTCAACCACTGAGCCACGCCAATGGGCCCCTGTACCAAATCCTATATGATAAAAGCCTAATATGCTAAGTGACAGGTCGACCAGTTGTCCGTGGAGCCAATCAAAGCGTCATATGCTAATGATATGCTAGGGCCACTCAACCACCTGCTATGAACGTGCACTGACCACCAGGGGGCAGACAGTCAACCGGTCGACCAGTCGCTATGAACGTGCACTGACCACCAGGGGGCAGACAGCCAAGCAGTCGACCAGTCACTATGAACGTGCACTGACCACCAGGGGGCAGACAGTCAACTGGTCGACCAGTTGCTATGAACATGCACTGACCACCAGGGGGCAGACAGTCAGCCAGTTGACCAGTCGCTATGAACATGCACTGACCACCAGTAGGGAAGACAGTTCACCGGTCGACCAGTCGCTATGAATGTGCACTGACCACCAGGGGGCAGACAGTCGACCAGTCGACCAGTCGCTATGAACGTGCACTGACCACCAGGGGGCAGACAGTCAACCGGTCGACCAGTCGTTATGACGTGCACTGACCACCAGGGGGCAGACAGTCAACCGGTCAACCAGTCGCTATGAACATGCACTTACCACCAGGGGGCAGACAGTCAACCGGTCGACCAGTCGCTATGAACATGCACTGACCACCAGGGGGCAGACAGTCAACCGGTCGACCAGTCGCTATGGACGTGCCCTGACCACCAGAGGGCAGTCAACCGGTCGACCAGTCGCTATGACGTGCACTGACCACCAGGGGGAGTCAACCGGTCGACCAGTCGCTATGACGTGCACTGACCACCAGGGGGCAGACAGTCCACTGGTTGACCAGTTGCTATGACGTGCACTGACCACCAGGGGGAGTCAACCGGTCGAC